CTCAAAATAAAGGGTTGGAGGAAGATCTACCAAGCAAATGGAAAATAAAAAGGCAGGGATTGCAATCCTAGTCTCTGATAAAACAGACTTTAAACCAACAAAGATCAAAAGAGACAAAGAAGGCCATTACATAATGGTAAAGGCATCAATTCAACATGAAGAGCTAACTATCCTAAATATATATGCACTCAATAAAGGAGCACCGAGATTCATAAAGCAAGTCCTTAGAGACTTACAAAGAGACTTAGACTCCCATACAATAATAATGGGAGACTTCAACACCCCACTGTCAACATTAGACAGATCAACGAGACAGAAAGTTAACAAGGACATCCAGGAATTGAACTCATCTCAGCACCAAGTGGAACTAATAGACATCTTCAGAACTCTCCACCTCCAATCAACAGAATATACATTCTGCTCAGCACCACATCACACTTATTCCAAAATTGACCACATAGTTGGAAGTAAAGCACTCCTCAGCAAATGTAAAAGAACAGAAATTATAGCAAACTGTATCTCAGACCACAGTGCCATCAAACTAGAACTCAGGATTAAGAAACGTGCTCAAAACTGCTCAACTACATGAAAAATGAGCAACCTGCTCCTGAATGACTACTGGGTACATAACGAAATGAAGGCAGAAATAAAGATGTTCTTTGAAACCAATGAGAACAAAGATACAACATACCAGAATCTCTGGGACACATTTAAAGCAGTGTGTAGAGGGAAATTTATAGCACTAAATGCCCACAAGAGAAAGAAGGAAAGATCCAAAATTGACACCGTAACATGGCAATTAAAAGAACTAGAGAAGCAAGAGCAAACAAATTCAAAAGCTAATAGAAGGCAAGAAATAACTAAGATCAGAGCAGAACTGAAGGAGTTCAGTTTGCTATAAAACAAAAAACCCTACAAAAAATAAATGAATTCAGGAGCTGGTTTTTTGAAAAGATCAACAAAATTGATAGACAGCTATCAAGACTAATAAAGAAGAAAAGAGAGAAGAATGAAGTAGCCACGATAAAAAATGATAAAGGGGATATCACCACAGACCCCACATAAATACAAACTACCATCAGAGAATACTATAAACACGTCTATGCAAATAAACTAGAAAACCTAGAAGAAATGGATAAATTCCTGGACACATACACTCTCCCAAGACTAAATCAGGAAGAAGTTGAATCCCTGAATAGACCAATAGCAGGCTGTGAAATTGAGGGAATAATTAGTAGCCTACCAACCAAAAAAATCCCAGGACGAGACAGATTCACAGCTGTATTCTACCAGTGGTGCAAGGAGGAGCCAGTAACATTCCTTCTGAAACTATTCCAATCAACAGAAAAAGAGGGAATCCTCCCTAACTCATTTAATGACGTCTATATCATCCTGATTTCAAAGCCTGGCAGAGACACAACAAAAAAGAGAATTTTAGACCAATATCCCTCATGACCATTGATGCAAATATCCTCAATAAAGTACTGGCAAACAGAATCCAGCAGCACATCAAAAAGCTTATCCACCATGATCAAGTAGGCTTCATCCCTGGGATGCAAGGCTGGTTCAACATACACGAATCAGTAAACGTAATCCAGCATATAAACAGAACCCAAGAGAAAAACCACAAGATTATCTCAATAGATGCAGAAAAGGCCTTTGACAAAATTCAACAACCCTTCATGCTAACAACTCTCAATAAATTCAGTATTGATGGAATGTATCTCAAAATAATAAGAGTTATTTAGGAAAAACCCACAGCCAATATCATACTGAATGGGCAAGAACTGGAAGCATTCGCTTTGAAAACTGGCACAAGACACGGATGCCCTCTCTCACCACTCCTATTCAACATAATGTTGGAAGTTCTGGCTAGGGCAATCTGGCAGGAGAAAGAAACAAACTGTATTCAATTAGGAAAAGAGGAAGTCAAATTGTCCCTGATTGCAGATGACATGATTGTATACTTAGAAAACTCCATCGTCTGAGCCCAAAATCTCCTTAAGCTGATAAGCAACTTCAGCAAAGTCTCAGGATAAAAAATCAATGTGCAAGTATCACAACCATTGTTATACACCAATAACAGACAAACAGAGAGCCAAATCATGAGTGAACTCTCATTCACAATTGTTTCAAATAGAATGAAATACCTAGGAATCCAACTTACAAGGATGTGAAGGACCTCTTCAAGAAGAAGTACAAACCACTGCTCAACGAAATACAAGAGGACACAAACGAATGGAAGAACATTCCATACTCATGATAGGAAGAATCAATTTAGTGAAAATGGCCATACTGCCCAAGGTAAATTATAGATTCAATGCCATCCCCATTAAGCTACCAATGACTTTACTTGCTGAATTGGAAAAAAACTACTTTAAAGTTCATATGGAAATGAAAAAGAGCCCACACTGCCAAGACAATCCTAAGACAAAACAACAAAGCCGGAGGCATTATGTTACCTGACTTCAAGCTATACTACAAGGCTACAGTAACCAAAACAGCATGGTACTGGTACCAAAACAGAGATATAGACCAATGGAACAGAACAGAGCCCTCAGAAATAATACCACACATCTACAACCATGTGATCTTTGACAAACCTGACAAAAACAAGAAATAGAGAAAGGATTCCCTATTTAACAAATGGTACTGGGAAAACTGGCTAGCCATATGTAGAAAGCTGAAACTGGATCCCTTCCTTACACCTTATACAAAAATTAACTCAAGATGGATTAGGGACTTAAATGTTAGACCTAAAGCAATAAACACCCTAGAAGAAAACCTCGGCAATACCATTCAGGATATAGACATGGACAAGGACTTCGTGTCTAAAACACCAAAAGCCATGGCAACAAAAGCCAAAATTGACAAATGGGATCTAATTAAACTAAAGAGCTTCTGCACAGCAAAAGAAACTACCATCAGAGTGAACAGGCAACCTACAGAATGGGAGAACATTTTTGCAATCTACTCATCTGACAAAGGGCTAATATCCAGAACCTACAAAGAACTCAAACAAATTTACAAGAAAAAAACAAACAACCCCATCAAAAAGTGGGCAAAGGATATGAACAGACACTTCTCAAAAGAAGACATGTATGCAGCCAACAGACACATGAAAAAATGCTCATCATCACTAGCCATCAGAGAAATGCAAATCGAAACCACAATGAGATACCATCTCACACCAGTTAGAATGGCAATCATTAAAAAGTCAAGAAACAATACATGCTGGAGAGGATGTAGAGAAATAGGAACATTTTTGCACTGTTGTTTGGCCTGTAAACTAGTTCAACCATTGTGGAAGACAGTGTGGAGATTCCTCAAGGATCTAGAACTAGAAATACCATTTGACCCAGCCATCCCATTACTGGGGATATACCCAAAGGATTATAAATCATCCTGCTATAAAGACACATGCACACATATGTTTACTGCGGTACTATTCACAATAGCAAAGACTTGGAATCAACCCAAATGTCCATCAGTGACAGACTGGATTAAGAAAATGTGGCACATATACGCCATGGAATACTATGCAGCTATGAAAAAGGATGAGTTCGTGTCCTTCGTAGGGATATGGATGCAGCTGGAAACTATCATTCTCAGCAAACTATTGTAAGGACAGAAAAACAAACAGCACATGTTCTCACTCATAGGTGGTAATTGAACAATGAGAACCCTTGGATACAGGAAGGGGATCATCACACGCCGGGTCCTATTTTGGGGAGGGGGGAAGGGAGAGGGATAGCATTAGGAGATATACCTAATGTAAATGACGAGTTAATGGGTGCAGCACACTAGCATGGCACATGTATACATATGTAACAAACCTGCACGTTGTGCACATGCACCCTAGAACTTACAGTATGATAATAATAATAATAAAAACACAATTACAACAGTAACAGCAAAGATCACTCGTTACAGATTACCATAGCAGACACAATAATAATGAAAAAGTTTGAAATATTTTGAGAATTACCAAATTGTAACAAAGAAACAATAAGTGAATACATGGTGTTATAAAAATGACAATGATAGATTTTCTTGGTACATGATTGACACAAATCTGAAAGCAATATTTGTGAATTGCAATAGGGTGAAGAGAAATAAAATGATGTTTGCATTTATCTCATTACTTAACATGGCCCTCGTCATAAAAAATTCTTTTATTCTGAAGGATAGATTTTCTTGGCTAGGAGAAGAGTAATTTTGTTTAAAAATATGTGCAAGGTTGCCAATTCCATGGATTTGAACCATTTTAGAAAGACACAATTTTATCACAGCACTGGGTAAATCAGTTTCAATAATTTACAGCTAGTTTATTTCAGAATAGATCATAATTGAGAGAAAAAAAATTTGAAACTTTTTGTGCTCAGGAAAATTTCTACAGGAATTTCTTCTCTTCCTTAAATAGGTGAGTTTTGGAGGCTAAATGATAAAATACCTCAAAGATTGGCATTCTCCAAGTTAGGTGGATATTTGTGTCAACCAGTCTTTCTTTATTCAGGGATGCATTTTGCCTGAAATTCAAGTAAGGAAGCATCCAGTTTACTTAGTTTATAGAAACATTATTTATATATTATTTGAAATGGTAATGTTTTATACACAATCTATATTGGTATTATTTAAAACACCAGTGTTTTGTAAGCAATCACAATTAATTGATGATACATCTATGTGGTAGATAATTCTACAGGCATTAAATGATATAATTAAAAGTTTTCAATTATAAGATCTTTTTAAAAAGTTTAGAAGAATATGCAAACATGCTTGTGAGATGTAAACAATACAAAATCAGATAATTAAATTATGTGTATCATATGATCACAATAACATCAAAGTGTGTACAAAGAAAACTCACTGGAGAGATTGCTTTAAACTTTTAACGGTAGTGCTCTCTCTTGTTTATGGGATAAATGATGATGTTTATTTTTGTCTTTAACATTTTCTGTTTTTCAAATTTTATATAATGACTGGTGTATATTTTACAGCTATTGAAAAGTTATTAAAAAGAAAAAATCATGAAGAAAAGAAACAAAATAGATCATGGAGTCTGTCTTATCTTCTTTTCCTGTGTAATCAAGAAAGCCTGGGCAGAGTATTATTATTGGTAAGTTCTGGAAAATCTCCCTTAGATGCAAATCTCAGATGAAAAACACTCTTATTAAGTGAAATATACTTGTCTCAACTGTAGGTGTTTATCAAAAACAAAAGGCGGGAGAAAGAGATAGCTCTATCAGTGGAGCAATACTGCCACCAAAAGAAAAATATTGAGAAAAGCTCCATAACAAGAGAGAGAAAAACAGAGGAAGAGAAGAGTAGAAGAGAAAATTGGGAGGTTTCATATATAGACTATTTGGTTTTCTGCTTTAGCTGACATCACTCATCAGTGATCATAAGGGAACCAGTCTTACCCCTTAGTTGTCACTAATGAAATAGGTATGGCTGGTCCAGCCTTGAGCCATTTGAGAGATTGGAAGGAGGCAGATCTCTGAGTGGCTGGGAATTCTCACTAGAGAAAATAAACGGCCATATGTCAAAGGGATGGGATGATGGGATTTGCTAAACAAGCTGATTAGAATCAAGATCTCTGGGGAAGGTTGCAGAACTTTGAGTTGTGAAATTGTATTTCCTGGAGTGCTAGGGTTTCAGCAAAAGTGGCACAGAAAACTCCTCATTTAAATAGTGTGTCTTTTTTTAATGTATTGAAAATGCACATGTAATTTTGTTTGAAGAATAAAGCAATACCAAAACCGGTAGCCTGGAATACGATCTAGTTTTTTCTGCTTGATTTTGTATGTTAACAGGGTCATAACAAAAGGGAAGTTCAATTTGGTTTATGGGATTAGGACTGGAGCATTCATCTGCTTCACTTGCTCCTTTCCCCATAATTAGATTAAATCACGAAGTCCCTAGGTTCATTCACCTTTTGCAATACACTATACATTTTGGGGTACTCTGGAAGTAAAAGATGGGTTCCAATTATGACGTTAGATGGGTCCTAATTATGATGTTAGTGCTTCCCATAGCACCACTGGGAATTCAAAGCTCACTTCCCTATGTGCTCCGGTTTCTCACCTGAGGTTGTGACAAGCCATAAAAGGTATAATATAGAGGAAAGGCCTGAGTATTTTAAGCAGTGGAATGACATGATGAAGATTCTATTTTTATGTAATTAAATATTTTTAAATATTACCTGCATAAATGAAACATTTAATAATAATGGTTCAATTCTGAAAAATAATTAAATAATGAGGGATAGCCCTACCAAATATTGAGACATAAATCCATGGTAATTAATATAAGTGCAGAAATAGTCTGACAGAACACTGGGACAGAGTGTATTAGCTCATTTTCACACTGTTATACAGATACTACCTGAGACTGGGTAATTTTCAAATCAAGTAGTTTTTTTTTTTTTTTTTTTTTTTTGATAGTGATGCTCTTTTTAATCATTTCCTTTTTTTTTTTAAATTTATTTATTATTATTAAACTTTAAGTTGTAGGGTACATGCGCACAACGTGCAGGTTTGCTACATATGTATACTTGTGCCATGTTGGTGTGCTGCACCCATCAACTCGTCATTTACATCAGGTATAACTCCCAATGCAGTCCCTCCCCCCTCTCCCCTCCCCATGATAGGCCCCGGTGTGTGATGTTCCCCTTCCCGAGTCCAAGTGATCTCATTGTTCAGTTCCCACCTATGAGTGAGAACATGCGGTGTTTGGTTTTCTGTTCTTGTGATAGTTTGCTAAGAATGATGGTTTCCAGCTGCATCCATGTCCCTACAAAGGACACAAACTCATCCTTTTTTATGGCTGCATAGTATTCCATGGTGTATAGGTGCCACATTTTCTTAATCCAATCTGTCACTGATGGACATTTGGGTTGATTCCAAGTCTTTGCTATTGTAAATAGTGCTGCAATAAACATACGTGTGCATGTGTCTTTATAGCAGCATAATTTATAATCCTTTGGGTATATACCCAGTAATGGGATGGCTGGGTCATATGGTACATCTAGTTCTAGATCCTTGAGGAATCGCCATACTATTTTCCATAATGGTTGAACTAGTTTACAATCCCACCAACAGTGTAAAAGTGTTCCTATTTCTCCACATCCTCTCCAGCACCTGTTGTTTCCTGACTTTTGAATGATCGCCATTCTAACTGGTGTGAGATGGTATCACATTGTGGTTTGATTTGCATTTCTCTGATGGCCAGTGATGATGAGCATTTTTTCATGTGTCTGTTGGCTGTATGAATGTCTTCTTTTGAGAAATGTCTGTTCATATCCTTTGCCCACTTTTGATGGGGTTGTTTGTTTTTTTCTTGTAAATATGTTTGAGTTCTTTGTAGGTTCTAGATATTAGCCCTTTGTCAGATGAGTAGATTGCAAAAATTTTCTCCCATTCTGTAGGTTGCCTGTTCACTCTGATGGTAGTTTCTTTTGCTGTGCAGAGCTCTTTAGTTTAATGAGATTCCATTTGTCAATTTTGGCTTTTGCTGCTGTTGCTTTTGGTGTTTTACACATGAAGTCTTTGCACATGCCTATGTCCTGAATGGTACTACCTAGGTTTTCCTCTAGGATTTTTATGGTATTAGGTCTAACATTTAGGTGTCTAATCCATCTTTTTTTTTTTTAATTTATTTATTATTATTATACTTTAAGTTGTAGGGTACATGTGCATAACGTGCAGGTTTGTTACATATATATACTTGTGCCATGTTGGTGTGCTGCACCCATCAACTCGTCATTTACATCAGGTATAACTCCCAATGCAATCCCTCCCCCCTCCCCCCTCCCCATGATAGGCCCCGGTGTGTGATGTTCCCCTTCCCGAGTCCAAGTGATCTCATTCTTCAGTTCCCACCTATGAGTGAGAACATGTGGTGTTTGGTTTTCTGTTCTTGTGATAGTTTGCTAAGAATGATGGTTTCCAGCTGCATCCATGTCCCTACAAAGGACACAAACTCATCCTTTTTTATGGCTGCATAGTATTCCATGGTGTATATGTGCCACATTTTCTTAATCCAATCTGTCACTGATGGACATTTGGGTTGATTCCAACTCTTTGCTATTGTAAATAGTGCTGCAATAAACATACGTGTGCATGTGTCTTTATAGCAGCATAATTTATAATCCTTTGGGTATATACCCAGTAATGGGATGGCTGGGTCATATGGTACATCTAGTTCTAG